ATCCCAATCAAAATACCAACCACTTTTTTCAAAGAAATGGAACAAATAATCCTAAAATTTGTATGGAACCAGAAAAGACCCCGAATAGCCAGAGGAATGTTGATAAAAGCAAAGCTGGTGGCATCACAATTCTGGACTTCAAGCTCTATTACAAAGCTGTAATCCTAAGATAAAATTTAAAATGCCCTTACTTCTAGAGCTTGCTGGAATGGAAATACTCCCACCATGGCTGATTTCAAGCCACTGAGTCTAGAACACACCACACATGGAATTCTTGAATATTTAACAGTTGATCCTAATACACCAGTCAGAGGCAGCTCCCACACCACTGGTAGTACAGGGACACCTAGAAATGATCAAGGTCAACTCACTCTTTTAGAAGAGGAAACTGAGGCTCAAAGAGGGTAAATTATTTGCCTCAAAATCACACACGGTGGCTGAGTGGGTTTTAATGCACAAGATTCTACCTCAACTACCTTCATAAACTAACTTCATAAATTTTATGAAGTAAAATTCACAAATTTTAGAAATAGTCAGTGGTTTCCATATTATTGAAGAGAGAAGTGCTCCTTCTCCAAAACCAGCAGCAACTATACCAGAGAGCCTGTTAGAAATGCATATCCATGGTCTCCACCCCAGGCCTGGTGAATCATTATCTCTTGGGCCCAGAAATCTGTGTTTCAACAAGTTCTCTGAGTGTTATAGAGCAAAGAGAAAATATCTTCCTTAAGCCAATCAATATTTTTTATAAGTGAGATTCTAATATGAGTCAGAGATAATAGCTACCCTTTTTCCTATCAGCATCCATTAAGAGATACTTCTCCTGAAGCTTTTAACATAAAGTCCACAATCTTTCACATTTTTAAAAGTCCTTACTTTTCAAAATAGTTTAGGTTTTTCTAACAACAACAGGAAAAAGTTGAGTTATTTACCTTCCAAGTCCAACCCCAACCTTTCCCAACCAAAACCTAACATATTTATATGTCTTAGCCCTGGCACATCCCTTTTGTTTAAATAACTGCTTTTAAGTAAATATGTATTTTTCCAAGTCTTGCCCTAACTCCTTCACAAATCAAGAAGTCAATGGCAACACCCCCCTCCCCCAACCACTGTAATCCACATATAATCGCATATATTGCTTTGTCAATTGATTATAGAGTTATGTATTTGTGTTTTGGTTTATCAGTCACTTCCTGGTGTTTTGATATTTGTTCCCAATCTTAAAATCCAGAACAAAGACAAATAAATACTCTTCACTTTGTTTTCCTCTTTCAATATTTTAGAGGTTGGAAAATTTACAAAATAAATATCCTCTCAACCTTCTTGTGAAAGCATTGCAAAAGAGAAGAAGAAAAATTGAGTAATTGTTTCCCCAAATTTAAAAATACCCAGCTAAGGCATGTTCAAATGACAAATAGCTGTACTGATATTACTTTAAAAATAATCAGACAGCAATCTAAGAATACAGGTCCATGGGTCTTAATTCATTTTCCATTATTAATTTCATTTGGAGGGCAAAGCTAAATATGTTTATTCTATTTGCACAGAAATAAGAGAGTCAATAACCTAAGTGTTGGTAGATAAGAGATTAACAAAAACATTTCCGAAGGGCGTTTCATCACTACCACATTTCCTCACAAATCCAAAACTACTTGCTGAGTATGGTTCTTGGCCTTGGTGGGAAATAGCCTCACTGGAGGTGGAAGGAGATGTTTTCAAGGAAAGCAGAGTATTAGTTTTATAATTCCCCAATTACCTGGTCCTGGATGAACTTCTATTTATCAAGAACTGGCCAGAAAAACTTGGCAACACGGGAGGTCACCATCCTGAAACGTACCACTTCAGAGTTTTTGAGATTCCCTTCTCTAACACTTCTCCAAAAAAAGCAGCTACCTTTATGAGATTCATCACTGATTCCGCCAGCCACATTTGGCTCGAAGACCCAACTAATGTTTGCTCATCGTCCTTCTGGTCAATACCTGCATATCTGCCCGTAGTCCCAGGTAGGCCTGTTCAGGACCCCCAGACAGAAAGTCCACAAATCCCATTCGCTAACTTAAGCTGGACTTAGATCTCAAACCTGAGTCCCATTTAGCAGAGTTTTTCTCACGAGGCACCAATAAAGGGGTATACCGAGGGCAAACCCAAGTCCTGTGTGGCTGGAGTGCACAGAGGGCAGCGTGGGGGTGAGGAACGGGGGAGCAGAGGGGCACTTACGGTTGGCACAGCTTGATTAGGTCCTGGTCAGTGGTGCCTGGTGGAAGGCCTCGGATGTACAGGTTGGTTTTACTCAACTGTTCCCCGCTGCTGTTGCTGGTGCTGTTTGTGCTGGGGCTGGGAGGAGCCATGGGGTGGGGAGCTGGTGCATAGGACTGCTGGAAACAGAAAAGGCTGTTACTGCAAAAACAAAGCCAGCATGCATTCACAGGCCAGCAGCGCAACGCACCTCGAAAGCAAGGCAAGCTTCCCGGCCTCTCTGACCCACACATGCACACACATCTTTATATCCCCACCCTGCATACTTCTGAGAACATCACTTGCTCCCCCCACCCCGGACCTACATTTGGATCGGTGTACGTTGGCCGTAAGTGGGACAAAAAGAAGTTCGCAGGTGCTCCCGACAGTGGTGTATGGCTTCTGAGCTAGTCCGCTGGCATTTTCCGTAGGCCTGTCAAGTAGCACGGTACCTCCCTCCCTGTTAGAACCATCGTTCATTCACTCTTGGCACCAAAGCCCTGCTCCTAGTTCGCTTCAGCCGCCACACATCTTTGCCTTTGTCTCTACTCCTTGTTCCCTCCTTCTCTCCAGCAAAACAAAACACGGAATGACACACTTCCTCCCATTATTGTCTTCACCATCACTCTCCAACATAATTCCTGATGCACAGAAATCACTGTATAAATAGTGAACCTATGAATGACCGACCGGATGGATGAATCTATCTTACCTCTTTCTCCCACTCCCAAATCTGCTTCTTCATGGTGAATGCCCTTTGTTTGTAATACGGAGCCACAAATCTCTCACTACAGTCAAGATTCCCTTTCAATTATACTAGGGTCTCAATCTAGGTAGCACTCCAACTTGGAGGGGATAATTCTTTGTTGTGGGGCCCTTCATGCTCGTTCCATTGTACCTCCTCCATTGCTCATTGCAGGATGGTGTCTTAACCTCTCGGAGACTCAACATTCTCATTAATATGAGGAGGATAAAAATAGTACTCTCAACAGTATGTCACAGGATGTCTATGAAAACTCAATGAGCTAATGTAAACAAAATGATTCCTGGAAATTAGTAAGTTAATAAATGTTAGCAATAACAAAAATGTAAGAATAATATCAATATTAATGATAATGATGATAATATTTGTAGTTCTTATTTGTCTTGCCAGTGATATTAGTCTATATAACTATCCCAGATATACTCAGTCATAACCTACAATGTTACCTAAAGGCACAATGAACACATTTATCAAAATTCCAGTGGGAAAAGTTTTAGCCATGTTTTAACCCGAAGACACGTTAGCTGTTTTATGAGGAGTGGGAGATATGTACTTACCAAAGAGCAAGTAGGTGCTTAATAAATACTTAGGCTATACTGTGTACAATAAATAACTGAATGAATCCAACACTTAGCCCACAGCAAGAAGAGGCCAAGTTTTAGCAGTATCCAGCCTTGTTTCTTGTTATAATAGTCTGTTTTATACCTTCCAGAATTATCAGATTTGCCCCAGTCAATACTTCCAAATGGCTATAAGACAATGCCTCTTAGACACAGTATGCCAAATGAAACTCATATCTCTGCTTTCTCATCTCCCAATTCTCCACCCCAGCCACCCAGCACAACGACCCCATTTCTTTTAGTGTTGCTGACATTCATCAACCCTTGTGCTAGAAGCCTCAGTATTAGCTTCATCTGTTCCTTAATTCTAAATCTCAAAATAAAGTCAGCTACCAAAATCTCTGAGGGGTTGATAGAAGCTTCCATGTCTCTGAATTCCCACTGCTTCCTAGGCCAGGGTCTGGTCCACCTTGCAGATGCACCAGATCTACCATCTGAAACCTTTTCCCTCTTGCTGTCCTCTTAGGGAGGAAAGTGAGGGAGAGCATAAGACAGAGTGATCACATGCAAACACAAACTAGTCAAGACTGTCCTGGGCAGTTTCTTGAAGGAATGGGGAGGGGGAGGACAACAGACATGACAGGAGCAAAACCCAGAGCCTCCTCCTTTGAAATAAACATTTCCTCAACCATTTCTTAGGTATTACCTCATTTGTTACCAACATTTATAATGTGGAATTTTACGACAAATTACACAGGAGAATACTTTCTGTCCCCAGTGTTTGAATAAAATGAAATACATCCATTGCCTTTTGGAATTTAATATCTGCATAAAGCAGCATGAAGTTTCTTGGCTTGCATGAAAAACTATTCCTCCTTGATCTACGAATTCTGTTTCAGGGTGCCTGAGTGGCTCAGTCAGTTAAGCATCCGACTCTTGATTTCTGCTCAGGTCATGATCTCAGGGTTGTGAGATCGAGCCCCAGGTAGTACTCCATGCTCAGCCCAGAGTCTGCTTGTCCTTCCCCTCTGCTTCATCCCCCTCCCCTGCCCCACGTGTGCATGCTCTCTCTCTCTCAAATAAATAAAATCTTAAAAAAAGAAAAAATTCTGTTTTGCTCCTTGCATGCCCCATGACACTTAAGCTCTATCTCTTTACAAGTCCTGAACTTAGTAGGTGTTCAACACATCCTTGCTAAAGTAGCATCTTGGTCTCTGTATCTCCCAATGGGACAGATGGGATTTATCTTTTATTTCCATTATGTACTTTATTTTTTTTAAATTTCCCAGGGCTTTTTAAAAGCTGTTTGTTACTACTTTCACCTCCCCTCTCTCCAAATTCTTTGAATTCCATTCTGTACTCAGGCTTCTTTGAAAATGAGGCTTTGTTTAAAGCAGTTTTTCCTACTGCACAGCTTTTAAAACTACCAGGGAGCCAAAAAAAAAAAAAGTCTTCAGCTTTATGTATCATAGATCTGATGGACCAGCACAGACTGAGTCCTTGATTGATCAAATAAGAAAGCATCCTCTACAGGATGTTCAATGGGTGTTTACTTACTTCCCCCCCACCACCCTCCAGGGGTCTTTGCAAGCATTTCCACAGCCAGAATACCATTTAGTAAATTGCATGGTGCCTAAATATGCCCTCCAAAGTGCCCGATGTATTCACTAGGATAAAATAAATAAATAAACAAAACAGTCAAAAGCAAGTCAAAGTTGCGAGGACCATAGGGAAATTGTATGCATGGAAATGCAGTATGTAATTTATAAATAGAGATAATAGCACCAGGCTGTTGTGGAGAAATGATGTATTTCAAAAGCCGTTTGAAAAAAAAATACACAATCAAAAGTGGTTTTCCATATCATATTCTTGTTTGTGAGTTCTAGAAGTTCTGCGGAAAGAGGTAGACTTTTCCAGTGTTACTGAGCCAATCAACACACAGATTTTAAGACCCAGTGCCCATCTCTCCCTAAATTTCATTTATCCTTTGATGATATGCTGAATGATTCAGGTAGTGGTCTGCACTGTAAATCATTCTTTGGTGTTAAGAATTATAAATTCCCCCCCTCTCCACTAACTTTCCAAACATATATCCTTTCATCAACAAAACATTGGCAGAAGGTTCCTGGAATGTCTGACAAATGCAAAGGCCTAAATGAATTAATTGGTGAAAAGCAAAAAAGCAATGTTGTATGCCCTGGTGCCAAAGACAAATGACCAAACTACAGCATCTCAAAAAAAAAAAAAAAAAAAAAGGAGCAATCATCTTTAGAGGTTAATGGGTCACAGCAACCACTTTCCTAATTAAAAGTGGTTCTGATTCCTTTCTCAATTCTTTTGTCTTTAGATGGAGTTGGGATTTTATCATCGATTAGCTTTTAAAGCATTTTGAGGCACTAAGGAAGACATTTTAAAATGTTAGTAAAAAAAAGAATTTATTTTCCCTCAGATAAAACTGACTTTGCTATATTGCTCAAAGTCACACGTTATAAATCCTATTTAGGAGAGGTGACTTACAGAGGGGGTTACTGAGCATTGTAATGCTGCACTATGGCAGGGCAGGGAGTTGCTATGAATTTGCAGTGTCAGCTTGGCTAAAACCAGTCAAAAGGGCACATTTTCAGACGAGGGCCTTCAGATTGCACTCGACTGAAGGCGCGAGATCGCATTTCTCCTGAACCTGCGCATGCTTGGCAAGTACGCAGATTTCCCTCAAATGTTTATTCAGAGCGGCGTGGCTGGGAGGGTCTGTTAGGTGTCACAGGATGGGGGTGAAAGCCCTCCGAACCACATGTTGGGGCTGCCCCATTAGCGGATCAGTGCCAGTGTCCTCTTTGGGAAATTAAATAAAATGTCTTGACATCCATTTTGGAAAATAATGATTCTAATAATCACAGGTAGCATTGGTGGTGTGCTTCCTAAGCATTTTATGTAACAGCCCGATGAGGCAAATAATACTCTTCTCATTCACAAATGGGAAAACGGAAGGGCAAAATGGGCAGATGACCTTCTGAAGGTCACGCAGCCGGAGCCCCAACTTGTACCTAGGAAGTTGGACTCCAGAAGACACGCAGTCCCCCCTCCACACTCTAGAACGTCAGGTATTAATGACATGAGCACCAATAAACATAAACGGCTTTCCGACCATGAACTCTGGAGGATGACACGGAGGCTCTGGTGCATCCAAGTACAAGGAGGAGACAAAGTAGGGTGAGGATAAACAGCAGACAGTCAAAATGGGGGTTAATAATAAGCCTTTTCCTCTATCAGAATTTAAATGAAGTCCATTTTAAAACTTAATTTCAAAGGGGAAGTGACCATCAGAAGCAAACTTGTTATGAGTTTTTTAAATAATGTCAAAAAGTGGGTTCATTTGTCAAGATTCATGGTGTGTTATTTGATAACAGGAAAATGAACTGGCTTGTAGATCATCCTAAACAGCTGATTCATTTAGTGTGCTTTGTTAATATGCCTCATTTTTCAAGTTTGAAAAGTGAATCAACTGGGTCCTCCTACATTCTTATAAAATGTTTGATTTGTGTGTGTAGGTCTGGAGGGAGGTTCATTGTGTTTTTAACCCCTAAGTATTTTGGAGGATTTACCTATTTATGGATATGGAAGATATGACTTATAGTTTTGTTTGTTTTTCCTCTTTTTCCGTTTTAGCAGAAAGCAGTTGATAAATCCAGTAAGTGCTGCTCACATATCAATAGGGTAAAGCAAATCATTAAAAACCATCTTTCATACAGTATCAAACCTATTAGATGAAAAAAAAAGCAGGGCTGTAATACACACCTACTACCTAGCTCCTTTTAAA